CAATTGTTTTAAATCAGTATTATTATTTATTTTATTTTTACATTTCTCTACATGTTTTCCGACTAATTTATCAGGGTAATTACTAAGTTTCAAAGCTTTTCTTATATGCTTCACTTCCTGTCTTAGATTTTCCCTGGTACTACTTAGGTTTTGTTCCCTATTACTTAAACACTTCACTAATCCTATTTTTACTGACATATAGGGTAAGATGATCAAAAATCCAAATATCGGTTTGAATGTGTGCGTATTCTGTAAACACTAGTGTGTTCAACCTCCCGTCTTCTTTCCTTTTTACGCTACAATCTAACATTGGAAGCTCACCTTCACGACTTTCTAGTTCATAAGTGAATTGAATAGTCTCCACCTTCGAGTTGATGTGTTTTGTCATCTACATGCCTTCACCATACTTTTTGGGGTGGAGTTGAACAGTTGTGCACTTAGTAAACACTCGTTCATCAAATAAATAAATCTCAGATGGGTGTATAAACAAGAAGATTAGTAGGCAATTAAAATATTATGATAAGACGATAAATAACATTGTAAGAATTATTGGTGAATTCAATAATTAAATACTCCCGTAGTAAAATTATATAGCAACACATTTAGGCTAACAATATTGTGCTTTCAATTAGATCTCATCATCAGGCCTAACTCTAATATACCTACATAACTTTACAAATAAATTTTCAAATATAAACCAGTCGTGGTGTTTTGTCTATAGGACAATAAAATGGTGAAGAAAACAAGAGCTTTCAAGGTAATTCATCGTATCCCACCGAATCTTTCCAAATGGACTTCGTGTTCGTCTACTGCACACAGCTGAGGCAGGCGATAGGCATTCGAACTATTAAACCTCAACTATGCATTCAAAAGAAGTTCGTACAGCCATTATCCCTCACTTGTTGGCCTATTAAGACATAACCAACTGATGACTTCTACACCACTACACCACCTACTTACATTTCCAACCCCTCTCTTATCATCCCTTAATCTTATCAAATCTTCATTAAAAACATGTTTTATTTACTTCCCTTACAATCTAGCATTACTTGATCGAATCATTTGTTTTTCTTAGCCTTAATCGACTACTATGTCTATCTGAACATTTGTTGGCATGTTCAATCATGCTGTTTTTCGTTATCCGTGTTATCACAGATCGCCTCACCTTTTCATCCTTATTACTGATAGAAGCATTATTATTATTACTATTATATATTATTACCTACAATAGTATTATGACTAATTGCACAATTTGTATTCACCATCTTATTTTCATATGCTATAGACAAAACACCATGATTGGTTTACATATTTGAATATTTATCTGTAAATTGATGTATATTAGAGTTAAGCCTGATGATGAGATCTAATTGAAAGCACAATAGTGATTGCTTTAATGTGCTGTTCTGAATTGAATAAATATGACGGATAAGGAGTCAGAGATAATTTCGGAAATTGTTCAAAAGTGAAGTTTCACTAATAACAACAATCGATATAATCTGATGATAGGATATACAAAAATGATGAAATAAAATGGAGCCATCAAATGGCTTATAGGATAGATGTATAACATAATTCATTTAATGTATGATACTTGAAAAAGGTGTGTACAATGAATAAGATTGGTAAGACTGGTAAGAGAGGGAGTGAGAGAATGAAATGTTACGTTATATGGTGTGAATTTTGATAAGATTATGAAAAATTATGTTACAGTGGATTAGTTAAATAAGTAAATAAGGGGTGACAGGTGGTGAGATAACACTGGAAAGTGTTCAAAGTAAAAATAATAATAATAATAATTACAGTCTATGTGGGTTTTGTTTTATATCCGGTGAGGAAATTAAAGCAGAGGTGTGAATACATGAAGTAATAATAATAATAATAGTGTGAGATGTAATTAAAATATCTGTGATTTCGTTACACACACCCTTCCAACACCTACCTATACATCCTCTGAACTATTCTGTATATATTCATTAGTAAAAACACAGTTTTTTGTTCAGTGAAGAAATTTCTTTTCAACGACTTCATTTTCAAGCTGTACAGTTGTATTTATATTACAGAAAAGGTCATTAAGTGGCACTAAATAATTGCTCAGTCAATTAATATACATATATGTGATAAGAATAACGATTATAAAAATGTTATAAGGGGTAGAGTTGAAGTGGATGAATTACAAAATTATTAAAGATTGTTTTATAAGTGAATTGATATCAAAAAATTTTAAAAATATCAAGTGTTGTCTAAAAATCCTAAAAATTAGGAGTACGATTACGAAATGAATGAAGATGTGAAGTGAAGTGGAAAGAGTTCAAGCGGTAAAATAAAATAAAAACTAGAAAGAACATTACTATAAGCAAGATAAAGAAAGGGGTTTGACAAAATGTTTTTGTACACATAATTTAGGTTTCTGTTCTTGTATAGCTAAAGTTTCGGCTATGCATAAGTGAAGAAAACGTAAACTTTTGGATCGATTCGATTTTGCCATGTAGATAACCTTGAAGGATGAATCACGTGGGGCTGAACGACCAGACTCTAACAGGTGATGAAAAACACACGACTTCGCAGTTCTACGTTCGCCTTTCATTAACGAAACCGGATAGTGTTCAGCTACACGTTTTCGGAGAGTACGCTTATATTTAACTGTGATTATTATTATACTTCGGTTGCATCTCATACCATTGTATTATTTTATGTGTTCACACCTTTGTTTAAATTACAATCTAAGCAATAAGCGGAGATGGTTATAGAGAGTGAATGAACGAAATGAAACGCAAATATATCTAAGACAGGAATCATGAAGACAACAGTGGTTAAAACAAACTTAGCGTATGTATGCAAAGCTTTGGTTTGACTATTTTCATGGTCAAAACTTGAGCGATACAGATGGGTCAAATACGTGATGATTTTGGCAGGCTACTTTTTGACTTGGAGATGGTAGAAATGAAACGACCACTGTCGATCTTACTTTCACAATCTCCACTTTCTTCTATTTTCTGCTGTCCTCTTCAGCTGGGTCCACGGTTGCCCATAATCTCTCACCTCGTCCTCACACTACTTCCTCCATTTCACCGTCGCACCGATGGTCCACTCATCCCTTCCCATTGATATTCCACTTGACTGATAACCTGCATTGAACGAGATGTCATTCGACGGCCTGCTCAGTAGTGTATTCCCAGTCCATCTTCATTTTCTCCTACATATGTGTTGAGCAATCAACTCTTGGTTGGTTTGTGACCAGAGTTTCCTGTTACTAATTCTTTCTGGTCGGCCGGCTATTTGATCTTCAGTTTGGAGCCAGAGAAGTGGGCAGCTGTTGATAAAGGTCTGGAATCTGTTGGAAATCCATTTCGAACGCTCAGTGCAAGTTTCTGACTCGTGTAGAAGAAATGAATGACTTCACATTTGTGTTGAAAACCTGAATCTTGTTATTTACGGTGGTTTTCACTTCCTCATCCGTGTCACTGTCTGTAGTTGAAATGATGCTGGCTGCACAGCTAGATAAATGAAGACAGAAAGTAACCTCTTTGAAATTTTTCCCTCTGATAATGATCAGTGCTGGTTGCTACTGCTTTTGTTGTTGTTGATTGGCTGTCTTCATCACCTCCGTCTTCTCCGTTTTCACTAGGAGTCAGTCCAGTCTTCGCTGACTACTTCTTCAGTGAGTTTGTTGGTTTCCACCTGCCTTTCTGTACGTTTGTGTGACACTACACAATATAAATCATCCACGGACCAAATCCAGGTTCTCTAGAGTTCTCTCTCTCATGCATATTATGGGTCTGGTAGGCAGCTTGCTGAAGCACACAACTAAATTTAGAAAACCTCAGCACCATATAACCAACAGATAGCTGAGATGGCACATCTTTCTAGTTCTGTAAAATTAGTCACCAACGTATCAGTAGACGACTTTGAGCTACTTTTTTTTCTATTCTGATTTTTCACCATTCCCATTGTTATTGTTATATATTCTCTGTATTTTAGGTCGAAAATTCGACTGTCCCGAATGTGACAATAAATACGCCACTAAAAATTTTCTTAATCAACACGTCCAGGTGCATCACAGAGGTCAGTAATGTGTGCGTGTTTGTCTGTGTGTGTGTGTGTCTTATTGTGTTTTACATGGAGCAGCAACCGACAAACCTGTGTGATTTCTCACTCAGTCCTCTGGATATTCATCAGTGTGAGACTAATATTCGATTGATCTCAGTGGTATAATGTTGTTGTCCATTGAAGTACTACTAGTGGAACAAACCTGAATTAATTCAACATCATCATCTCCATGAGAAGAAGAAGAAGAAGAATGATAAATGCAGAATGAAAGCAAGGAGAAGGAATAAGGAATATCAGATGAGTAATTTGAGTTATTCATTGGATTGTAGTCATTACTGAGGTTGTATCAATCAATTGATGTTGGACTAGATGTGATTTCACAGAACAGCGTTTTGTTCCAGTGGATAAAAAGTTTCTCTCCTTGTATTAGTATTTTTTTTCTACTATTTGTTAAGTTTTTCAATTCTAATCTCTTACATGACTGTTTCTAATTATCCCATATGTTTGTTCGAAGGTGTATATTTTGTGTGCAGCATCTGCGATAAGAAGTATGCCACGAAGTATCGATTAAACAAACATATTAAAATTTGTAAAAGAAAGTGAGTAACCTTCAGTTTCATTTTACTTCCTCTTTCTTCTACAAATTATTGGTTAAACTTGACTAACAGTATGTGTTGTGTGTGTGTGTGTCGTGTGAGAGTAGTAATATCAGTAGTAGTGTTTATTCAGGGGAGTGCAGGGTTGAGAATACTGATAACAATCGGAGGTGTTATAACTGCATTTGCCGCATCAGGATTATTGCAGACATGATAGTCAGTGTATGTGTCATCCCTTCTGTGCTACTCTACGAATCGATTAGACAAAGTGTAGAATAGAAAGGAAGGCATTTGCATGTTTGGTGAAGTGTGGTGAAGTGAGTAGTGGATATTTTGTGTATCAGGTCATCACGAATGAATGCATACGTCTGTCTATCGGACCATGAATTGAGCAGGTCTACTCAACTCAATGATGAGATGCAAGCAAATAACAGTATTGCTGAGACTACGGATACCACCGAAACAACAACAACTGATAATAATAATAATGACAGCAATACAACACCAGCTATAACCGATCTCTTCTCCTTATTTTTCGTAGAAGTCAGTCAATTAATTCATACACGTATAGTCCCATGTGAATTTGTCGATGACAATATGCAAATGTTGTTGAAAAATTGGCGTATATGTTAAACCAGCCTTAAATACAGCCAAGAACTATCTCTCATTGCATGAAGGTGACTGTGTACAACAAATGAATATGCGTCACTCACCACCTACAGATAATACTTTTAAGGTCAGTGATCCCTGTGAACGAGTACACGGGTGACTTTGAATGGACGAGACAAATGTCAATGCCATTTAAATAAATCTTTGTAAGAAATGCCTGCATCTTTTGTTAACCTGACAGTATTTTCTGAATCTACAGGACAGTCATCTTAATGAATATGGAAAAACCAGGGTGAGATTCCAGAGAAAATTATCATGTTTCTCATTCTAGCACTTCAAACACCGACATTCTCTAGAATCAGTTACATCTACTCTGATTGAGTTCTGCAAGATAAACCGTGTGCTATAAAATCGCGATCATATTTCGTTATAAAGCCAGCTATGCGATTAAAAACAATCAATTACTCACCAGGTTACTTGACTGAGGGAGGACACTAATGCAGTGGTGAGCACGAATACTCACAATGAGTACCTCAAGACTGAATTCTCACGAAAACCAACAGATTTAAACAAACTTCCAGTTTCGCAAACAATAACCGATGATGTTACTAAGAAGTGTTGTCACCGATTCTCATAAGCCGATAGAAGTTTGCTTTCGTTATCCAAAATGTCTTCTTCGACACTAATGTTCAACCAATATCCAATATCCTGATTACGAGCTAGTATAAACCAGTGATTTCTTTGAGCTCGCTTCTTGATTGTAAGGTAGAGGTTCCAGATCTTCGGTGAACTTATGCTTAGCAAGTCCCGTCACTCGACTGCTTTGGTTCTGGTAGACTCCAAGAGGAGTGGTGCGAAGATGGGTCAAGATTGTGGTTTGTATTGTGCAGTATGTTAGGACTGAGTTGCTGCTGTGAATGGAGGTTGACCTAACACCCGTTGGTCATTCGGTGTAGTCATAAAAGCAGAATAGTAATAATTATAATAATAGGTTGTAGTGCAGATAATATAGGTTGAGATAAGTGAAATAATAAAGGTGAAATAATACAGGTGACCTAAGGAAAAGATAGAGTAGTCGGTACAACGAGAGAAGACAGAACGGGTCGTGGGGATTTAGCTTGAGCAGCAGCGACAGCACTCACACAATATGCGTGCCTCCTCATACCTTGGGACATGGACGACAATATTCCAGGAACTGAGTTCAAACAAAATCAGACGAGTAGAATGATATATATATATATATATATAGAGGTTGTTCAATCCGTATTTTATTCAGAAATGAGTTAAGGAACACTATCTCGGATGGCTAATGAAGAGGTCACAGTATCATGGAAATGCTATAAATGAACATATATTCAATACTGAATCACTGAAGACAGAACCAATTCTGTGTAGTTTTTTCTCTCTCTCTTCATTTCCTTCAAGGATTGATTGCCCAGTGTTTTGTTGAAAGCCAATTAAATATGTCCAAGAGTTCATGTAGTTAGTGATCATTTGATATAACTGCCTGCATTGGTTGAAACAATAAGAAATGCAGAAAATATTCAAGCATCTGGATGGATGGAAATTTCGGTAGACCAGTGATTTAACCAGGCCACTGCTTACTGGTGAGAGTAATGTGAATTAGAACTATGCTGGATAGCAAAGGGAGAATGCAAGCGAGGGTGTATGCAGCTCGGTAACAGAACATCTTGTGGTGAATTCTTCCTCTCGTGTTGTCGTTAATTAATTATAATTAACGGTAGAGAGAGAAAAAACCACACAACAACAACAACAACCTGAATCGGAAATCTTTAGCCCATGATGCAGACGAATGAAAGAGGAAGAGAACTCTCGATAGCAGTTTATTTCTTATAATACTCTCTTATTGTTATTTAATATAAAAGTATAAAAATATACTATTGTATGACAAAATCCGATTATGCAGAGTTATAGAGTCAGTCAGTCAGTCAGCTGTATACTGGCTGAATAGACCGTCTCTACGCTCTATGGACATGGCTGTAGAAAAATACAAAATAATCACACTGATCAGGTGAACTGGCATCTGGATGCTGAGGAGAAGAATAATCATCGTTTACCGGTATACTTCCGTTTGTTCATTTCTGCTCTGCTCTGCAATAACAATAATAACAATAAATATGTTCAATTGAATTTGTTTGTTTCCTTTCAATGCTAATGATATATACTACTGGTTACAGTTACAAAGTAGTTATAGGGATTTCACAAGGCCTAAATTCAATTTGAAATGCTTGTCTACATTGGCGATGAACACTTCACCATTAGACCATTCACCTAACAGAATTAATTTATAATGTTTTTTCCTTTGCACTACGAGTGGGACATGGGGCTTGAGGCTTTCAGGTTTCAGTAGTAGTGGTGCATTTTATTACAGAATGGAATTGTCAGCTCCAGGGAACAACCTCAGCTGTTTCTACCAGGAAGTGCTGCCGGCTAAATGAGATTGAGGAGTGCGAGATCACGAACTTGGACCACTTGCGTGATTGGCGAGGATTCACACGAGAATAACACGTGGCCAATCCGTCGCTGTGTTGCACTTCAAAAGCAAGTGGATTCTGATTTATGTCGATACAATCCTTCCTGCTGTCGAATTTTTGTTTGCACAAAATCTATTTTCATACCAGTTAATTAATTCCTCATACACCTGAAGGTTTCGTTTTCATCAAACATTTACCAGTGAGCACAACAACATGTACCCAGTGGAGAAAGATATGAGATAGGTGAAATAAACATGATTCACGAATTATACGTCAAGTGGTAAATCAAAAGGGTCTCTAATCTCCACGAAATTTAGTCATATGGGTCAATATGTTGGGAAATAATCAAGCCAAAGCAACCGTGAACATTCGAAACATCGCAGAGACTGACTTTCGGCCTGTTAATTGAAACCTAATGTAATATCATTTAAGAAGACGTCCGACTGACGTATGCATTCATTCGTGATGACCTGATACACAAAATATCCACTACTCACTTCACCACACTTCACCAAACATGCAAATGCCTTCCTTTCTATTCTACACTTTGTCTAATCGATTCGTAGAGTAGCACAGAAGGGATGACACACACACTGACTATCATGTCTGCAATAATCCTGATGCGGCAAATGCAGTTATAACACCTCCGATTGTTATCAGTATTCTCAACCCTGCACTCCCCTGAATAAACACTACTACTGATATTACTACTCTCACACGACACACACACACACAACACATACTGTTAGTCAAGTTTAACCAATAATTTGTAGAAGAAAGAGGAAGTAAAATGAAACTGAAGGTTACTCACTTTCTTTTACAAATTTTAATATGTTTGTTTAATCGATACTTCGTGGCATACTTCTTATCGCAGATGCTGCACACAAAATATACACCTTCGAACAAACATATGGGATAATTAGAAACAGTCATGTAAGAGATTAGAATTGAAAAACTTAACAAATAGTAGAAAAAAAATACTAATACAAGGAGAGAAACTTTTTATCCACTGGAACAAAACGCTTGTAGTGTACATTGTACCTTTGAACTTTTGTTTGAATGAACGCAACCTGACATTGTTAACCACACTTCCGCTTTGTACTCTCCTGTGCCTCCTGTACGGTCACTGTCTCGCTCTCTCGCTGTACTTTCAACTAGTACACTCTACGAGCCGACAACCGTCTAATCTCCAGATAAGTGTACACTTTTTATTTCTTATCAAATTGCATATCTTTTTGTGTAAATACAAGTCCGGTCAGTTATACCTGCTATTTCGAGTCTTTTAACTTTGATTCCGTTCTGTAGTACTTGCACGTAGGCAGAGTACTAATTAAGGTCATAAACGGTGAAAGAGTTTGTAAGAGCGGTTATTATTAGGTCGAAGTAATCCTAAGTCTAACTCTTACAAGTGGTGAGCCCGAGTTTTCACCGTTTGCCTACTTAGTAGCCTAAAATGTAAATAGTCCTTTTTCATATTGGTAATTTGTTTTTCACACAAAGTTATAAATTTTATTTGTCTTGTTTTTACTCATATTTTTTGTTATCATATTTGTTGTTATCATTCTATTTATATATCGTCTTGTTCGCGGGATGGCTGTAACTGTAACTCAGACGAACGACTCCTCTACCGAAGGGTCGTCAAAATTAGATGTGGTGGCCTACATAGCTAAGCTTTATGAAGAGATAGATAAGTTAAAACAGGAGAGGACACCTACAGGTCGTTCACATAGCCGCACCAGCTCGACTCGTGGCAGATTTTCTTCACGAGCTGGCAGCAGACGTTGTAGGCCTCAAAATTCCCAGCCTGGAGTGTGCTGGTATCACCGGCGTTATGGTGATAAGGCCCAAAAGTGCACTCGCCCGTGCACCTTTGATGGCCAGCAATCGGAAAACCTGTAAGCCAGCACGTATTGGCGACTAACGTCGCTGGCGAACCACTTCCATGTCGCCTCTTCTATGTTACCGACCGTACCACTGGGACACGCTTCCTAGTTGACACTGGGGCGGAAGTTAGCGTGATCCCACCAACATCTGAAGAGCGCAAGCGGCCACTTTCCTTACAGCTTCGCGCCGCAAACGGTTCGCCAATCACAACGTATGGCAAAAAGTTCCTGGACCTTAACATAGGCCTACGTAGGTCATTTCGCTGGGTTTTCCTTGTGGCAGATGTAACTACCGGTATTATTGGCATGGATCTCATGCAACACTATCAGCTACTGGTTGATACTGGCAAACACAAACTGATCGATTCAGCTACAAGCCTTTCGATCTCCGGCGTCGTGACACACACACCTGCATTAAGCCCAGTATACTCAACCCCTGCCTCTAACGGCCCTTACGCTGAAGTTCTTCAGTCCTTTGCCAATCTGTTCAAACCGGTTTCTAAACTTCCTTGTGTGACGTCTACTGTCACTCATCATATCGTGACCACTGGTCCACCGGTCTTCGCTAAGCCACGGCGATTGTCCCCAGAAAAACTACAAGCCGTGAAGGCTGAATTCGAACATATGTTAGATATGGGGATAATCC